ATTCGAACCCACCACCTTAGGTGTACGTGGCTGGCGCCTTAGCCGGTTGAGCTATAGGCGCAGAGCCAAACTCTTAACAACAAATAATTTTCCCACGTAGGCCTCTCAGAGTGTTAAGGTAACAGATGTAAGTCACTGAGCCACCGTGCCTGGCCCTGGGCAGCATTCTTGATCTTTCTTTTTTTTTTTTTGGCCGTGGCTGAGTTTGAACCCGCCACCTCTGGCATATGGAGCTGGCGCCCTACTCCTTTGAGCCATAGGTGCCGCCCAAACATGGAGAACTTTATTTATTTATTTATTTTTGAGACACAGCCTCAAGCTGTTGCCCTGGGTAGAGTGCTGTGGCATCACAGCTCACAGCAACCTCCAATTCTTGGGCTTAAGCAATTCTCTTGCCTCAGTCTCCCAAGTAGCAGGGAGTACAGGCACCCTCCATAGCACCCAGCTATTTTTTGGTTGTAGTTGTCATTGTTGTTTGACCGGCCTGGTCTGGATTTGAACCCGCCAGCTCTGGTGTATGTGGCCGATGCCTTAGCCACTTGAGCTATAGGTGCCCTCTTGATCTTTTCTCTTTGATAGTTTCTTCCTCAGACTGTCCACTTGTCCAAGGTCAGCACCTGGGAGTTTCCCTTGATTTGTTGTTCTCCTTCGTTCCCACATCCAATCTAGCAAGGCCTGCTGACTTTATATTTAAAACACACCCGAAATCCTACCATTCTTCATGGCTATCTAGCATTATAGAAACAGCCATTTTCACAGAGCAGCCAGATTCATCAGTCTGATGAGAAATACAAAGTGGAGCCTGTCATGGGTTCTCGATGTGTGTATAATAAACTGCATGGTCTCTGTGGATTTACTGGGATGTGGATGTGCTGGTCACCATGCCATTCTTGTAATATCACCTAATCCTCATTTCCCATTTGCTCACTCTGTACCAGTTACAGTGACCCATCTTTTAAAAAATAACAGTCCCTCAAGGTTAATGTAGTTAGTCTTGATGTAAATCCAGACTGCACCTAGCCCTTTTTTTTTTCTTTTCTTTTTTTAAAGAATCAGGTTTTATGATGTTGCCCATTCTGGTCTCAAATTCCTGGGCTCAAGTGATCCTACTGTCTCATTCTCCCTCATAGTTGGGACTGTAACATTAAGCCTCTATATCTGGCACATTTTCTGTTTTTGTTTTTTTGTACAGTCTTGCTATGTTATTCAGGTTAGCCTAGAATTCCTAGCCTTAAGCCATCTTCCATCCTTAGCCTCCCAAAGTGCTAGGATTACAGACGTGAGCCTCTGCGCCCAACTCAGTTCCCACTTTTAAAACCATATTTCTTAGACATTTAAGTGGTTAACATTGTTTATAATTAAGTGAGGCTACCATAATGTCATTATGATTATGAGTAAGTGACGTATTAGAATGAGTAACTGCATGAACAGTTTTCCCTCATGTTGCTGAGTTTTATAAATTGAGTGTGGTGAAAGAATCAGCCAAACTTAATAGCTTCTTTTTTGCTTGCCAGGGAAACTTTTCTCCTGATAGAAAGCTGCTCAGGAGTTAGTTAGAAGTTAGTTTGCTCACATAAATAAAAAGTAGCCAGTGGGAAATAATTTTGTTTTTTAATAAGAAGAATAGGTGATGAGTTTCCTAATTGTTGCTTATAAACAGTAAAGGGCCAGCCCTTTCTGTTAGTATTCAAGTATTTATTTATTTATTTATGAGACAGAGTCTGAAGCTGTCACCCTGGGATAGAGTGCCATGGTGTTATAGCTCACAGCAACCTCAACTCTTGGGCTTAAGTGATTCTCTTTCTTCAGCCTCCCAAGTAGCTAGAACTACAGGCGCTCACCACAATGCCTGGCTAATTTTTGGTTGTAGTTGTCATTGTTGTTTGGCAGACCTGGGCTGAATTTGAACCTGCCAGCTCTGGTGCATGTGGCTGGCACCCTAGCTGCTGAGCTTACAGGCATGAAGCCAGCGTTCAAGTCTTTTGATGGGTCTAGGAATGTAGCTGCATAGAGAGAGTGAGAAGCCAGCAATATTGCTGCTTTCTTTAAAGTTCCTGAAGGGGAGAGGAGAAAGCTTAGTTAGATTCTCTGTAGCTATTAACCCTAACTATTGAGGAAATAACTCACTAGTTCTGACAACATAATCTTTTGGTCATGTGGTACCTATGAGCACACCTGTGTGTCAGGTGCTGTTAGTTGGTAGTATAGAAGACAATGCCTTGCCCTCATTCATTCTGCTTGTATGCTTAGTAAGTAAACAAAAATTTAATATCTAAGGTATTACATGGTCTGGGAAAGAAGCAGAATAAGGGTACTGTAGAGGGCGAAGGTTGTTACTGGAGGGGCCTCCTTGATCGTGTGATAAGCACTGCAGTCAGCTTCTCTCCTCCCCTTTCCTCTCCTCTTTATTTATTTACTAGAGACAGTCTCACTCTGTGCCCTGGGTTGAGTGCCATGGCCTCATAGCTCACAGCAACCTCAAACTCTTGGGCTTAAGTGATCTCCTTGCCTCAGCCTCCCAAGTAACTCGAACTACAGGTGCCCACCACCACACTTGGCTATTTTTTAGAGATGGAGTCTCACTCTTGCTCAGGCTGCTCTTGAACTTTTGAGCTCAGACGATCCACCTGCCTCAGCCTCCCAAAGTGCTAGGATTACAGGCATAAACCACCTCCCTGGCTTCATCTCTTTCTTTAATGCCTGCCTTTTCTCTTTCATGTCTAACAGTTGATTCTTTTTTATTTCATAGAAATTTTGTTAAATTAGGTTTTTTTCCCCTTAAATTTATAAGGATGATCATAATTAATACCACTCCCATGTGGGACTCTGAAAGCCTCTAATGCTTTACTACTATTTTTTTTTTATGGGCATATTTCTTTTAACAGCTGTGGTCATTATTATACTCAATTATACCTATTCACAAGTAGAGGTACCATGATAGTATAACGAATACTAAAGTGCCCACTGCTCGATTTCTCTGTTCATTAACATTTCTTCCATATTTTGTCCATTTATCCTTTTTCCTTTTTTTCACTTTACAAGAATATTATAAAACAAATCATAGGCATAACATGATTTTATCTTTTTAGTGTGTATCCATGAACAGCAATAACATTTTCTTACACAATAACAGTGTCATTATTACACCTGCCAGATTTAACAGTTCTTTTGGTATCTGCTCATACTCTATCCATCAGTTGAGTTTCCTCGTTGATTTGTGTGAAAAATTTTGCTTCGAATATGTAGCCAAACACAATTCATGCATTACCTTTGGTTATATCTCATTTAATCTAAACCAGCTTCTGCTGACTATTTTTGTTTCCCATTCTATGCATTTTTTGTGGAGAGTTGTTTCTTTTAAAGTGGCAGGCTTACAAGTAGGCAGTAAAGGACAGTGATCTTTTTTTTTTTTTTT